CCCCAAAACCCCAAAACCCCAAGCACTCAAATTTCAGATATAATTTATGCATAATTCAATTTTAAATTAAAAAATAACAGAATGTAATTGAGCGATGTAAAAGTAAACCCAGAACAAACTACTTTAGGAAATTACTAGACAAATAAAGTTCCTTACTTCTTCGTTAACAAACCAATATAAGAACAAAAATCTAGAAAGAAAAAGCCCTATAATTGCAACCTTAAAAAATCAATGTAAAGGTTAAAGTAAAAAAGATTCTATAATAATAATAATAGTTTGATGCCTAAAATCTTTATTTCAAATCAAGAGAAGTTTAATAGGAGTTATTAGGTTAATAAGGCAAAATAAAAGGCTTTAACTTATCAAAGGACTGGAAGCCTTAAAATAAAATTTTAGACCGTACGTATTCAATTCAAAACAGTCTAAGAGGTAATAATCAAAAATATTGTCAAACGCTTTAAAACAGATAACTCATACAAGTTCAATTGATGAGGCCATTAAGAAACATAAAAGCTAGCTTCGTCTATTCTATTGGCCAAATATCAATTCCTATCAATTCATTTATAATCAGCGACTGAATTATTTAACAAAATATTCCATAAAATTTTCACATTATCTCTAAAGATTACAAACCTATTAATAGCAAGATTTAAATCTTTAATAAGATTTCCAATAGGTATACGAACTAATTTCTGATTGGGAATTATATTAAGGGATCCAAGCTGACAACTATAAAATATTAATAAATTAACTTAAAGATGGAATTTCAACAAATAAATATATAGAAAATTAAAAACTAAGCCTGAACATTGAGGATAAATTGCTACACATAGTAATGAAAAGGTTGAGACAATAAAATATGGTGAAAAAATTATTTAATAATGCTTGGGCTGATAAAGATGGGTACAGAAAATAGGTCAATTTTTTAAGATCCAGCATTTAAGGAGAGACTTTAAGAGTCCTTTAGAGATTACGATTGTGCGAAGTTAATAAAAGTAAGACCTATTAGTCGGTATTTAAAACCTTTCATTTTGAGAATTTCTACATAAGGGGATAATGGATCATTTTAAAGAACTAAACGTCAAAATTGTAAAAATATTCCTTCTGAGGAGGAAGAACTGCTTAAAAATTGTAGACAAGCAAAACATGGCAAATAATCGATTGAGACACCTAAAAAAATTAAATAGAAGACAAAATAAGTAGATCTAAACTAGGGAAATAATTCCAAAGTTGAAACTTCCTTCATGATTCAAAATTCAAAGAGCTAAGGGTAAGGTATATCAAACTTCAAAGCTAATACTAAAACAAGCAGGACTAAGCAATAAAAATTAAATCATCAAAAAGTAAAATGGATCACATTCATCAGGTAATTAATTACAAATATTAACAATCTGTCCATTTTTTATTTAAATATTTATTCCAAAATAGTTAAAATGAAAGTAATACGGGGTTTTGGGGTTTTGGGGAGATCGGA